TCCCACACGTCACCATACCCGGATTACGTTTTTGGATCGGTCTAGAAGTTATCACGTATGTAACTAAGTGACAACTATCGTAAGATAGGTTTACCCCAGATTGCATCAAAACTGTTGACTTTGGTCAAGTTTTTCAGACTGTACAAAACTCAAGAAAGCAGGTTGATTTTTTGTTATTTCTTGTTTGTATTCACCATACCTGTATTTCTAGCCAAATAGTAAAGTACTAACACATTTATTACAGGCCAGCAATCGTCGCACTTTTTTGGCATTAGGATAGCTTTCGGTTCTTGGTACTGGACTGCATTTTGAAACTGTTTGTTGTTAAAAGATGTATTTAAGAATTTTATTGATATCTAGAAGGCTTTGTTAATAAAAGCTTTAAGCATAATGATGATATCTAGACACATCCATTTACTGTTCCAGTTTAGAAGTGGGGTTAAGCAAAGTTTTGTGGTCACGCGATTCGCCCCTAGCTTCACTCTGTAAAGTAGCAAGATCAGTTTTGCCCGGGGTCTGTGAAGCTTCTTTCTCCGGACACGGTCAGAAGGTTAAGCCATGGGTTTTCGCGCACATGTTACATGTTATCGTGGACTTTGCATGTAGTTACTTATCATGTGTTAACAGCTTTTTTTCCGTCTCACATCAATTTTCGTAATGTTTTTGCATGTTCTCCGAGTTAACTATGTTTGGCGAATTTCCCTATCTGGTCACTGTTGTCCTGGGGGTATTTCCGACAGAAGCTAGTAATGATCAGGCTATAGTTTCCACTTACATCACTTATAAAAGTGTTTCGAGGTAACTAACTGACTCTCGAGTCAAAAACGCTAGACACTGTGAACTGATATAGTTGAGGAATAGTTCAAACATCCTGGTGTAAAACCATTCAAAGCTGTAGAAGATGAATGTTTGATGAGCATGTGGTGGACCAAACAATATATAAACGCAAAAGTATCAACAAAGTTAATAGCAATCAATAGTAATATTAATATTTACAAGTTAAATGTTACAAATGCAATAACAAATTGTAGGGACGTTACTTAAATCGGCTAGTCGTTGCGTGTTCTGTTGAGTTTTGGTCTCAAAAATCCACAATTATAAATGCGTAATAATTCCACAGAGGTAAATAGGACGCCAATAAGTTTCTTTGATGTAGGATATAATGGGAATGACACTGCAGTCTGAAATGAAGATAATATCCAGTTTAGAACGCAATTGACTTGGTAACGAGCGAGAATAGAACAATGGGTATGTGCGTAATAGTGTATTTTTGAACAACCGAAAATGTGTGTCACGCTATGTTCGAATTACAACGGAAAAAGTGTTCAAGGTCATTGACTAAAACAACACATACAGTCATTTAATGATAAATGTACATACAGTGAGAAATTGACAAAACAAATACAAATAATATTAAAAACTATTTACAAAATAAGCTTGTCAGTCATATCTCCACAAGCATAGAAAATAGGCTGACCTAGTTGTAACATCAATAAGTGAACGGAATTTCAGGAAACGTATTTACTTAGTTTTGAAAGGCGACAGTGAGTAGGAGAGAAATAGTGTAAGACAATCAACTGACGTGATTCGTTATACGATTCACAAATTAAATTGAAATTTTTAAAGGAGTGGAAAATATAGGGTCGTCATGAGGGTACAATTCGTAGGAGACTAAGTTTTCCGTAGTATTCAATATTTATTGATTCAAGCCACTTGTCTAAACCCAGTACTGAATAGCAACCTCCAGTTCTTAGTCTGACAACCTACATGATATGCTATTCTTGAGCTGTTCGTGCAATTTCATCATTACCGAGGCGAACCCCCCATCAAATTCAACATGAAATTTTCTACTAGCACTACTAACACCACCAACATCTTCCACAAGTCACATTCGTATACTGTGTTCTAGAAGACACTGAATCTAGGTTATCATTTGTACATTATTGGATATATGAGATAAAAATTCGTTGCAACCTCTTAATAGCTGAAAAGTTGGAGAAATCCATTCCGTGTTTGTCTTCCACAAATGTGGTTACCTGAGTAACTTTGTCAAAACATTTCTGCTTAATTGACATACAGTTGAGAAATCGCCTCTGAAAACTAATGGCTCATATACGAAAAATCCTATAAGGATTTAAAAGTCCTTAAGAATCAATGTTCCTAACCAGCCAACACATTTACTTCATTCCGTTCGATGCAAATAAAAGACACAACTATGAAGGAAATCAAATGCAATATCACAAATGAAATAAATTGTATAAACTTTGAGAATTACTGGATTAAGCAAAGTGGGTTCCCTTTCACCTATGTATGCACTAGTATGGACTAGCAGAGAATAGATAATAATATGCTTCCATTTATATCAATGCTTTTGGATCTGGATGCGCCATCTGAAAAAAGGCAACAAAGCTTGTTATCACATCTGTTTTTCTTCTTGAATAGTAGTAAATACCTTTGAATGGGACGTATTCTCCTTATTGTAATTTTTTATATTTGTATTCAGCTTTGATTTGTTTTATAGAGTTATGTGTTTTGTTTGTTTGACGTGAATAAATAAACTCTTCTCAGGTTTATTAAAATATTGTCAGTTAAGTGACTAATATGGAATAATTCCTAACAATTTCCAACAGATAATGCAAAATAATAATAATAATAATTTGGGAAACTAATTAGAAGACCCTATAACTGACAGTTTATTTGGTTTGATAACGTAATATAAGAAACACAATTGAATTTCACGAACAAACAGTTTAGTGAGATACATGTTTATTTTGTATTTTGTAGTTAATCACATTATTTTTCAGCAATTGGTCAATGTTATCTGATAGGTTGTTATTATCATTTTATATCATGAAATCTCACTGACAAAAAATAGTGTTTCAGGTATTGTTCAGAATATAATGAATTAGCTTTATGAAAGTGAATTTAAATTATAAGCAATGATGGATAGTGGCTAGCAGTGGAATCCAGTTTGACGCGCGTTTCGTTCTGTTTGGGACTCGTCAGCTGAATGTACCTGCATCTCAGAGTTGATGTTCACTCTAGGACTCGAACCCAGTGCCATTCGCTTGAAACGCCATCGCGTTATCCACTTAACTACTCAGTCATGATAGGCAATATCGAGGCAATACGCACAGTGTGCATATATTTACTAATATTATGTTATTGGATTAATCGTAAGTTGTATTATTTAGTTTTTCATTAGGAATTATAGTTTCATAAGCCTTTTTTATAAGTGTGAAATGATGACAGGTTTTCTTGTTATGTAATTGACATTGTTACTTAAATGGTATGAGTCAATTCTAGAAAAATTTCCATTTCTCATCACCTAAGGTAAAACGTCATTTCATGCAATTATTGGTTATATTAGATTTTACAGTTAAACACAAATGAAGTGTTAGTTAAGAATGTTTGTTTAAATTTTAAATAGCAACATTTCTTTTAGAAAAGTAATGATCGAATGCAATTGTTAAAGATGAATTTGCATGAAGAGAATAATTAAAAGTGATTAGAATAGATGTTATCACGAGCTATCTTCAGATAAGAAAAACAAAAAAGCATTCATTTAGTGTACATTGTTATACTTTCTTTAGAATAAAAATTCTGCAATGAAGAGCAAGTTATTATAGACTAACAAATTTAGTAGTTGAATTCATGAGTTAGATCACTATGGAGAACCTGGAAGCACTGGATGGCTGTTTCGTTCTGGTATGGGATTCCCCAGGAGTGCACATCCACAATCTCGCTCTCAGGATTTAAACTCAGGACCTATCGGTTTCGAGCGCGAACGCTTAACCTCTAGACCCCTGAGCCTGCCTCTAATGATGTCATTGAGTAACTTCAACCAATTCAGGATTAATAAATCTTGAGCATATTCTTAAAAGTAAGAACCAACTGATCGGTTTATAATGTTAAAATACTGTAGAAACAATTCCTTTTACAGGAAATAAGAACACTAGTAGAAATAACAGGTTATTTAAAGTAAATCAAGATAAAGATTAATATTACTAAGAATTTAACTTCTGTATATCAATTGTTCATATTCATTGATTATTAAAGAAACTATTCGTGGTAATGTAATGATATCAAGTCGAGTGAACTCAACGGAATAAAACGAAATGGTCATCGAGTGCTACGAGGTTTTCCATGGTGATCTAGTTTCAATTCATTCATGATTTCAACTATTGAATTTTATTTATTCAAAACTTTATTAAGTTTAATTCACTTGTTATTGTTTTACTTGAATATTTCCATTGATGTGTTAGGACTGAAATTGATCAGTCTCTTATTGACATATTGTGCATACTGTGCGTATGCCTCGATATTGCCTTAATTTACATTTATTTAACATTTTGTCTAAAAGTATTTTTTTAAAATAAAAAATAAAGGTGTTATATTCAAACCTTCCTTTCATTATTTCTAATATAATAGAATGTTTTCCTGTGTTATTTATTCAACACCCTATTTAGTTTTCTTAATAGTATTATGATTGTTTTTCTATTTCTATTCGAATATTGTTATTCTCCCTTTCAATAAATTCACAGAATAACAAATTTCCTAGATATGGATTGATCTCTCTCTCTCTCTCTATACATATATATATGTAGGGATAGAGTAAAAGGAGGGATACTTTCAACATGAATAATATAAAATGACCAATGAATATTAGATGTTTATTTCTAAATGTTGATTGGTTTATTTAATTTTTATCCTTTCCAAAAAAAGAGAATTTACCACATTGTTTAATGATGCATTTATTCTAATTTCTTGTATAAAGTTGAATACATGATGGTGTGTTTTTCTTTTTCTTCTTTTTCTCTTTTTTCTTTTTCTTCATCATCATCATCATCATCATCATCATCTTCCTTATATTTTTGACAAAATTAATATGCCCATTTAATCTTAGGGTAACCATTTTTTTTTATAGATTGGATATTATTGAAAAGAAGAAACTTACCTTATTAAACATTAAACCATAATAGAAATTATTACTAAAAATAATGAATGAAACATTTACTTTATATAATCAAAATTCTGAATATAATCATGAATCAATTCTAAGTCAAATTGTTTATACTGAAAATAAAAATGGATTCTATGCATCGGAAACAACCATGACTAATTCATTAAATCATCTAAATAATGATCTACAAAATACTGTATTATTCAAATCATGTACAATAAAATCTAATATAAAAGATGTTGATCATGATAATAAAGATATTTCATTAAATCATTTTAATAATGATTATCCATTAGCTCATTCCTCTCCAAATTCATTTATAAATGGTAAGTGTTAATATATTTTTTTGTTTTGCGACAGGGGGGGGAGGGGAGGGACTATTTTATGAGGAAATTTCAATTGTCAACTTTTATTTGTTTTTCATTGATCAATTCCTTCATTTTATTGAGATTTGTATGTTACTGCACTTGTAAACAAATATAATTGTTGAGATTATAAGTTAATTGAAGCACTGGATGGCCATTTCGTCCTATTGTGGGACTTCTCAGTGGTGCACTTAGTGGTCTAGAGGTTAAACGTTCGAGTGCGAGACCGATAGGTTCTGAGTGCGAACCTCGCGAGGCGGAATCGTGGATGCGCACTGTTGAGGAATTCCATATTAAGACGAAACCGTTGTCCAGTGCTTCCAGGCTTTTCATGGTGATCTAGCTTTAATTGATTCATTATCTCAACTAGTGAAATTACTATAATATCCACAAAAACCTCTTCTGAAATATGATTGTATTGAATTTCATCAAAATTGTTGATTAGTTGCTAGTGAATTGCTTATTGTTTTTTAGATAGCAAACAATGTATATGAAGATTATGTTTTAGAATGGATTATTGATTATATGAACTTCACTTTTACTTAAAAGTTTTCGACCTTTACGTACTATTTCAGTGGTTTAACCTTGCATTTATAGTGTTCATGAATCATAGAATAATGACATAAAAGTATATTAAATAAGAGTATAATGATTAAAAAGTCAAATAATTTTCATCCTTACAGATGGTTAATCTTAAGTTTCAAAATTAATAGAAACTTAGATCACTTAATTCTAGAGGAAATGAATTCCACGCAAAGATATGAGTCGTAAAGTTTTTCTGAGGTCATATAAAATAATGTTATTGTCTGTTATTACTAAAAAACAGCGTTCAATGTGACTAGTTGATACAATTCAGAAAATAAGTACATGCTCTTGTACTTCACTGTGAGATACATTTCTCAATACTAACTGGATGTTTGAATCCAAGTAACGAGAGATGGGTTTGTACCAGTTACCCAAGAGTTGAGAATCGATCATTAAAGATACTTATGGAATGTAGATTAACCGAAGTTAATTGGACGAGAAGATAATGAGATGAATGCAGTGACTTCCTACTATGAAAATTCAAGATTTACACGTATGATTGAAGTTTGTTGTACTGTCTAGTCATATCATGTATGTTTTTTCTCCGCATTAACTGGAACATTTCAAATGAATACAGTACAACTATATTAAGTTCATTTTCTTACATAAGAACCAGAAATAATTAATTTGAGTAAAAGATGATATATATCCTAGCTTAGTAACGTAGAGAAATTGATGTTTGACACTGCATGTACTGGATTAGTCTCCATGCTAACGATAATGTTAGGATCCAAGTATACCCAGCTGACGAATCTCAAATAGGGTGAATTGTACGACCTAGGTTCTGATGCTTTAATAAAGACATGAATGAGTCGGTTGCTGAAACATTTGCTGTTATACATCTCAATATTTTTTAGAGCACATCTATTGTTTGGTGTTTTATATAAATCTCTCAGAGCTGAGACTCGATCGTTTGTAACGAAGTTCACAAGAAAAATTAAAAATATATTTGAAGGTTGGTGTTTGATTAGATAATAAACTAAATTTAAGTTTACGGATTAATTTAATAGTTGAATTCATGAGTCATTTAAAGCTAGACCACCATGGAAAACCTGAAAGCACTGGACAGCCGTTTCGACTTATTGGCCTAGACCGACAGACCCTGGGTTCGAATATCGCGAGGCAGGATCGTGAATGCCTACTGCTGAGGAGTCCCATATTGGAACAAGGTTCAAACCCAAAACCTACCAGTCTCGTACGTGAGCGCCTGACCTCTCATACTAGGATGAAACGGCCGTCCAGTGCTTTCAGTATTTCCATGGTGTTCTATCTTTAATTGACTCATGAATTCAACTATTAAATTACTACAATATCCAAAAAACCCCTCTCTGTTTATGAATTAGGCATTCTAGTTAAAGACAGCAGTTTATAGAGTATGTAGTTAATATGATTTTTAGCATGACTTATGCAAAGTTTATTAACCAAATCACTCATCAACATTTTGGTCAAGTTAGATATCATATTTAGGCATTATCTAATTACATTTTCTAATTACTAATAAAAATCAGTTGATGAAGTAAGTTATAATCAAATAATTTAATAGTTGAATTCATGAGTGAATAAAAACTAGATCATCATATAAAACCTGAAAGCACTGGACAGCCGTTTCGTCCTACTGTGGGACTCTTCAGTATTGAGCATCCATGACCAAATTGCTTATTTAATTAATGTTTCTTATGAAACTATTATATTATACATAATCTTACATAACTTTTAATACAATGAAAAACAAAACAAGCCAAAAATGTTCATTCTTAATTTGAAACATATAATGAAAATGAATTAGATATTCAATTTACATTTAGTTTCTATGGTTTAATTGTTACGATTCCCTACTAATGGTAAGAATAAAAATGATTTAAGAATTACTTTTACAATGAATTAGTATCAATTTCTGTTAAAAAGAAATCATTGAAAACTATGAACTAGTGAATATAACTTTAAAGAATAGTAAATTTTTGCAACGAATAGAAATTGTTATGTTTATTTTTCTGGTTGGGGTTTTTTAGCGAGTTAATTTTCTACGGGATGGGTTTGCTAACCTCCATACTCAACCCTTCTGTTTTATCCAGGCTTGGAACCGGCAGTAGCCCCAGAGAAGCTCTAAGCGGACTTAATAATTATATTACTATACTTAATATTATATGCTTGACTATAATAATAAAATTTCAGGATATACTATGAAACATTATAACAAATTTCTTTGTTTTATAAAGATTGGACATGTGAATATTCAAAAAAATATGTATGTGAAATATTGTTAAACAGTGATTAGCTCTTATTTATATTTATCCATTTATGTTTAAGGTTAGTTTTGTTTTCATAGCATCTATTATTATTGTCGAATATATTTCATGAACAAACCTTTTGTTTGTTCAAAGAACAGAGAGAATAGATAGTACACAAACTACCATTGTGATTCACTTGGTGTTGTTTTTCCTTGTACCTTCCAATTGTCATTTAGGACTTCAATTGATCAGTTTCATGTTGACATATGTGCAACCTGTGCGGATAGCCTCGATACAGCATTAAGTCACAAGGTTTTTAAACAAAGATGAACGAGTCCCGAATAGGACGAAACGCGCATCCTTGATTCCACTGCTAGCCACTATCCATCTTTATCATTGTGATTGTTCTTAAAGTTATCTTGTAATTAGATGGAAAATTTACTTTACTTTTTAGAATAGTATAAAAATACACTATGTAATATATTCAGCTTATATCTATGTATGTTTTCTTTCTGTTTAAATTGAAGAAATTAAGCATGATATCAAGATGAAAACAGAATTAAGGAGAGATGATGAAATTTTGATGAGTATAGAAGGAATAAAGATAAAAATGTTTTGACGAGAAAAAAACACATAACTAAATTGATCAAATTGATTACAGCGTTTGTATATAGAACATGAATAGTAGAATGAATAGCTATGTTAAACATTCTATTTATCATAAATCTTATTCATGTAAATGCTCATCAATTCGTCTTTATGTAGGTCGTATATAAGATAAGTTGAACATGTTAAATTTCATTTGTTTGTTTCTAATTAATATTGAGGGATTATCAGTCTTGAAGAAATAATAGTTCAGTAGTGAAAGAATTCAACTATCAGTTTTAATTGTCATACTGTTTATTTTGGCTTCAGTTGTCAGATAGAGTTGCTAAATTATGCAAGAAAATGTGTGACTTTAAATAAAATGTACGAATGTATACTTGGTTCATTAGTTTATTAGAACTTAGTTTTCTTTCATATGACCTGACCATCTGAAAGGTGAATGTACTTTTCAAATATCTTATGAAAGTAATAACATTTGTTCTCTACCTAGAAACAGATATTTACTGTTAGCTAGGTAAAATGAAATTAAAAAAAACAATTAATCAACAATAAATGAGATCTGAAGATTTATATCAGATGGGTTTTGTGGAGATTGTAGTAATTTTAATGGTCAAGATCATGAGTCAATTGAAGCTAGACCACCATTGAAAACCTGGAACCACTGGACGGCCGTTTCGTCCTATTATGGGACTCCTCAGCAGTGCGCATCTGAAGATTTGTTTGGTTAAAGTATATTCTGAAGATTTCTAAGATCTTCATGTTCTTGTTTGAGTCTCCCAATTTACAGTTTTCAATAGTCAGTATTAACTTATAGATCCAGTTACAACATTTACAAATGAAAAGTGTACAAATATAAATCATAAAAAATTAATCATCGATTGTCACTAGATTTATCCGTGAAAAGTAATGAAAATTAGAATGTTTGTCTCCTGGTTTAGTATCAGTGTTTTCAACGAGTTTGCTTATAAGTAATACTGCGAATCTTTGTGAACAATAAGGGTGGGATTGATAATAGCAGTTTTGAAGTACTCCACCTCATAAGCATGAAATGTATTTTTTATGATAAGTAATTTTAAAATACTTGAAAAATAAACACTAAGTGTAAAATGATGTAAGGATTCTATACAAATGTAATTATCGTAGGTGGAGGGTCATTTATGTCGAAATGGTAGCTAACATTTAGATAAAAGAGACTGAAAACGAGAGACCTGAATAATATATATATATATCGATTAACTTTGAAATTGACATGCAATACGCTGTTAGACTTGCACAAGTGAGATAATCACCCCTAATCGAACACTTAATAAAATTGATGATCTTATGTATATTATTGAACACAAATCTTTTTAATGTTGTTGTATCATTATGGCAAATATTTCTTCTAGTAAATGATGGATGGTTTCTGATAAACTAATGTGGCTAATTGAAATTCATCAGCTAAAATAAGCCTGTTAATCTATTAGACAAATATTGAACTCATATTACTGTGCTGTGATCGGATAGTATTTTACTTAAGCCAGTTATACTCATATATGTAGT